AGCCTGAAACAAGAGTTAGTGCAAAAGTTTCAAACTACTGGTCCAAATATGGCCCTTGACGTGTTCATAGGATTAAATAAATAAGTAAATGAATGAATGAATGAATGTGTGCTGTTTCAAATTATATTCATATAAATAGTATACTATTAATCTAAATACTTTTATTCTGATGAAATTATATTAATATAAATGTTTAATATTTTATTCATTTACATACTATAGTAAATAATAAATTTATTAAAAAAAATCTAAATAATTAGAACATTTAACAATTTAAATTTGTACTGTTTCATTCTGCTTTTATTCTGATTAAATTATATAAATGTCAAATATTTTATTCTATTTAACAGAAATTATTTTACAACTTTATTTATGTTGTTTTTGTTTGTTTTTTTTTTCAGTAAAAATGAGTCTTAATACAGTACATGCATACATATAGCTGCCATTTTATTACAGCAAGAGTGTCCTCATTGGATTTTTTAAATAAAATAATTGTATTTACCATATATGTGAATAGTTTTCCATTTATTTTCAGTCTTTATACATTCAAATAACATCTGAGCTTTACATCAAAGCCAGAACATGATGTTCTCTCTGGTCTCTTAATGAGGTGGCTACCTGCCTGATCTAAATTGCATTTCAGGAATACAATCTCAGGCATCATTAGTCCACTAAGCATGCAGAGCAGTATGCTAGGTCTGAGGGAGAGATGAGTAGAACTACAAAAAGATCAGTCCATGCACCAATAACTGTATTTAGTTAAAGTGCATGATTATAAAAAAAAAAAGAAAAGTTCTTATAGTCAGTATGGAGAAAGTCACAATAAATAGTTAGCAGATATTAAGCAGACAGTCTAATGAGAGTTAGTTGAAATGTAGGTGCAGTGTTACTTATTGTCAACAGAATGTTCAAAAGGGACCATCAAAATAAAGTGTTACCAAAAAGAATTGTATTTGTTTTAACTGATCAACTGGCCCCTGAGAATATAATTTGAGTTTTAAAAAAATAGTTACTCAAAGGAATTTGCTCACCCTCAGGCCATCCAAGATGTAGATGAGTTTGTTTCATTGGAACAGATTTGGAGAAATGTAGCATTGCATCACAGATGTTTGAACCTTCATTCTGACGGCACCCATTGACTGCACAGGATCCATTGACGAGCATGTAATGTAATGCTAAATTTCTCCATATCTGTTCCTCATCTACATCTTGGAAGACCTGAGGATGAGTACATTTTCAGCAAATGTAAATTTTTAGCGAACTACAGTATTCCTTTAAGACCTCTGAACTCATACAATGTTGTGTGTGTGGGCACACTTTTTGAGTTAGTTTAAAGTGTGTGCATGTCATTTGGAGGTATGTGGGTGTGTTTTTTTTTTCTTTTTTTTTCAGTGTTACATGTACATGTGTTTCGGCATACTTCAGGTCTTTTGTTGTAGACTGAGGTAGCCGCTGTGCCACGTACCTGCCAGCAGGGGATACATTTTTTTCTGATTGCCGTGGGCAACAAGTCCTTGATTTCCTGGATAGAGACAACCTGACAGTTGTGCCAGAGACCACAGCACACACACAACTGTAATATCATATTAATATTAAACACCATATTACTTCTCCACAGCTCTCCTTATTTCTTCTCTCTGCAGACACACTTCCATAACTTTAAATGAGGCACTTGTGTTTATATTACATCAATCAATGCTTTTTCCCCCCAAAAGCAAAACTCAGGCAGGCACATTATTAAACAAAGACTTTGAACACATTCCACGTCAAAAACACAATTAAAGTGGAGTCGGAAAGGCACTGCAGGGCAGAATAATGAACTGTTGGGGCCATCGGAGCACAGAAAATGAACTTATAATTAAGATTTCAGCATTACATTAAATCTATACGTCATCCAATTGGGTTTTATTTCTCCCAGGAGCTCTTTATTATTCATAACTGCTGAAAACATGCAGACGGTCTTTTGTGGTGACGTGATGCATTTGAGGTCTATGTATGATGGAAATCGTGTTGACAAGAGTGGTATACAGACACAAAAGGTGACGGCCAGTGAAGAGGGACCGCTACTAACATGCCTGTAAAAACAAGCTTACGTACCAATGGGGCAATTACCCATCATGTCAATGATGTTTTTACAACTCAGCCCAGCCCTGTGAATTCCTAATATATGACAGACAGGAGAGATTTCTTTGGATTTCTTTGTTTCTCTCGTGCTGATCCCTGTGTACATCGCTATTTTTACTCAAGCCTAAAGCTTGAATTTAATCAAAACACACTTCAGCTGCAGTATGAACCAATTTGTGGATTCGTAGGCATTAAAAAAAACAGCAATTAGCTGCTAGTTTATGAAGACAAGCCTGTTTAATATTTCCCAGGCTGATTAGCCATTATCAGCTTTGTTCAACACATATTCCTCTGCTTATAATTGCTTGATGATGCAATAACAGCACCATTATCGTACAGTAAGTTTTCCTAGCTGTGATATATATTTTTTCCACTCAGGTTACAAACTCATCTCTAACCTTGCTTAAATAGTTCTTAAAATGATTAGGTTTCAAATTAGTCTCAAATGTTCTTTGGTGAGCATTTCTTACAGCAGTCCTAACAAAATATTATTATTATATTCCCTGATTTCTCCATAGCACTGTTTGCATTATGTGAGTTAATCAGTCAGGCCTAATGTACAGTCATTATTGCAAAATGAACCTCGCAGAGTGATCAGGGTCAAGATATAATGTATGTGGGTCTTTATCATCCAGAGGGGTTTATTTTGTGATAATGACCAGATGACTGTAGTTTGACCTATTATGTAGATACTTACCAAATAAATAAAGAAATGGACATGAAATGTTAATTATTTTATTATGTGAGATGAGGAAGCACAGTATATGAAAATTATTTGTGAAAGACTTTAATTTATTACACAGTTTACTGGTCATTAAAGAAAAAATATTTGACCACAAAATGCTGAAACTGACCACTCAGAACTAAAAGGACATGATCATATATATAACAGAATAGAGTATTCTGAGTATTTTATTTATTTTCTTTTTCTTTTGTGTTTTTAGTCTATGTTCACCAAAACTGCATTTATTTGATCAAAAATATATTTGTATCTTTACGTTTTTTTTTGAGTCTATATGGTGGCAGAATATATGGTGGTCAGTTTTAAAGTAGCAGTCTATGGAAGCCATGGAATATAAAAGAATAAAAAAAGGTAATTTTGAGTTTATATTTCAAAATTCTGACTCTTTCCCTAGCAATTCCGAGATTATATCTCACAATTCTGATAAAAAAACGAATAATAACAAAATAAAAAATCAACTCGTCATTCTCTTTTTTTTCCATAAAATTCTCATCTTGAAATAAAAAAAAAACTGTAACTGTAATTTATGTTCTACATGACTGTATACATTCTTCTACATGTATGCAACACTCTTTGCAGCCCCTTTCCCCCCCTTTTTCTCTTCATGAAGGCCCCATGCATGACCTTTGACCTCAAGGTCAGAACAGTTTTTCAGCTTGTCAGGTCTGAGCCCATGATTGCGGCTCGCTGAATTATAGTGTGTCATGAGTGACAGGTGGCAAGAACCAATAAACTCCATCCCTGCATTCCTGCAGAAGACCATTAAAGGCCTTTCATATCGCTTTCTCTGTTCAAACGGGGCAGTTACTGTGTTTTACACTGCTGCTCCAGCGCAGTTCCTCGGGAAGGCATGTGACCAGCTCAGAGGTCTGGCAGCTTTATTTGTGAGATCTTAAAACCCTGGTGCTATATGTTCTCTGTGGAATAAGTCCACCTTTTTGACCCCACCGTCTGCCGCTGCTTTTCAAAAGTCGCATTTGGGAGGTCTCACATATTTCAGCAATAATTTGAAAAGATTTTTCAAAGTGCCTAATTATGTCCCCAGAGATTACGGATACTAACAAAATTGCTTTTGATTTGACTTCAAGAAGGTTTGTGGAATGTCTGTACATTGTTCAGTAGATTTTGGAATTGCAGTGATGGAAATAATTATTTGCTGTAGGATTTTCATGTTTGCTGTTGCTTAGGTGACATTTGTTTGCCCAAAATAATTGCAAGCAATTGTGCAAGACCTCAAAGCATATTAATATGAAAGTCAAACTCTAAACTACTACAAATATTTAAAAGTCAATTACCATACGTAATGTTGCATATTCTTCCAATTAAATTTTTCCAAATTCAGAAAAAAAAAATTAAATAAAAAATTGAATTTGTAAAGGAACATGATGGTAAAAAACGAGATGGGAGCTAAATTTATTTCAGTGCTTTTGCATTCTCTCACAAAACCTTTGGGTTCCCCGAAAAAAGTTTATTGGGGGAACATAGTAAACAAAATAGTTTTGCAAATGTTTTGTGAGCAAACAAAGTTTGTCAGGGGAACGCAATACATTTGGGACAGAACTCAAAAAGTTTGGAAAGCAACCGCAAAAACACTTAAATATATTCAACACGATGACCCCTTAGTGGCTCCATAATTTGCCTAAAACACGAAATTAATGTAGATTTTATATATAAAATATGTAGTATAATAATAGTGTGTATAGAGAGACATATGTAATGTCTTTGAATTATTTTCATGTTCTCAGTTGCTGCTCTGTCTCTTTCTTACTTTTTCTCTCCTTTTCACTCTCTCTCTCTCTCTCTCAATCCATCTTCTTGTCTTAACTGTAAGCCAACCTGTTGTAGCTCTTCCACACCCCCTAAACTTTCTCCTTCAGAGGTATTTGCTTCATTCATTCACTCTCTCTTTCTCCCACACACCCTTTTACACGTCCTTTCTAGGCTGTCTTGGATTCTCACCCCCCTCGTCCTGGGACATTGCACTACAGCGTGTGGAGTCCCATAACCTGTTCTTGGATTGGATTATTACCTGACGGATCTTCAACAGACCGGGTCTGTTTCAAGCAGCCAGCAGTTTTGCTTTTGAGTTCAGAGGTATTTGCTTCATTCATTCACTCTCTCTTTCTCCCACACACCCTTTTACACGTCCTTTCTAGGCTGTCTTGGATTCTCACCCCCCTCGTCCTGGGACATTGCACTACAGCGTGTGGAGTCCCATAACCTGTTCTTGGATTGGATTATTACCTGACGGATCTTCAACAGACCGGGTCTGTTTCAAGCAGCCAGCAGTTTTGCTTTTGAGAGGAGGACCATGGTGCAGAGTACAGTGGGAAAGGTGAGTGAAGGTCTCTGGACAAATTTGCAGCCCAATGTCTCACAATGCAGAAAAGCAGTATATCTATATAGCTCCCTGCCAAGTTTCTCTTGCTTGTTTTCTCTTTCTTGCGCACTCTGGATGTGGGCCATTTTCTCAGAGTGGTTCTCAACTGGTTTTACTTCATGATCCAGACATTCTTGGACATCAGGTGGCAATTTAACACGGTACTAAACCTAGAATCAGTATTTAATACAGTCTTTTACCCTGTGTAGTTTTGTTCATGATTTTTCAGGATGAAGCAATGCCAAGCAGCCTGTCTATGCTGGCATCTTTCTAATTTGGCTAGCTTCAACCAAGCAACAGATGAATAGACTCTAAAATATTGTAGCGTTCAATTGGATGCACGACTTTTGACTTCAACAACGTGGGAAATGTTTCTATGTCTTTTTATGTTGCTATCCTAATTATATTTGTATTTTAGCATTATCAATTTGCATTGTTTTTTCCTACTCACCGCAATCCAATCACAAAAGACCATTTGGGGTCATGACCCTTCAGTTGAGAGACTACTCTAAACTAATGTAAGTGCTCTTTTAAAGTTCATTTTCTCAAACATCTGCTGATCAAAACTAGCATGATTTGACCCTAGTTCAGTTATTTGTTTAATGCATTGTTTGATTAGGTAATTGTGGAACAAAATTAGAGACTCCATCCACCGTATGCCGTTCCACTCCATTTACCGCCACATCTGACGGCTTCAATAGCCCCGCTAATGCAACTAAAAAGCCTTGAACAAAATGGTTGTGTGTTGATGTCTCCAGTCTGATAGCTTTTTCCTCCACGCACAGGCTTTTACACGCCCCTCGAAGTCGAGCGGCACTCCGGCTTTAGTTGTAATGTCATAGATGAACCACATAAAGTCACTTCATTACTGCACGCTGGCGGCCTGCCTCTTCCTGCAGCTGATAAGCCTCCGCAAACAGCATCCTTTCCAGCTTTTATTGTGAGCGAACGAGTATTGGGAGTATGCGTTTGGATATTTCTACTACAATAGATGTTTTGTGAGGACGTTCCTTCTAGTATCTTAAAAAATTGCTGAAGCGACATTTAAAGATTTTTGGCTTATCTCATGAATGGGCCCTTTTGTGTTCATGTTTGATTTTGCGCATTCACCATTGTGCTCTATGCAACAATTGCATGGACTACAACAATTGTCGTCTCTGTGTGTGCGCTAGTGTGTTTTTGGATGCTTTTAAGAAATTTTTCCCCCCCAGTGTGCGTTTAACACTTAATTTAGAGCTACAGACATAATCTCCTGCGAAGTGGCCATATTCAGATATGACTAACAAACAGCAGGGTTTGTAGAGAGAGCAAAAAGGGGCTTGGGTACAATCCAACTGCACGCTCACCTCTCCGGTCGGCCTGCGCTCGGGAGATTACATTCTTTGCTGCATGACTTTGCTGTATGCAAGCTGCTGTGTGACAGGCATCAGAAAAATATCCCTTGAGTCACGGCGGTAGCTCCTTCCGGCCTGTATGTTGATGCGAATTATCGTTTGTTCAATCAGATTCATTCATAAATCACACAATCAGACGGCAGCCTCCAAAGTGCAGCAATTCAAAAAGTCTTATCTGCCCCGTCCAGAGTACCGGAGTCCATGTAAAGTCATGTAAACTGACTGCGGTACAGAAGTGCTTGAGGTTACATGCTCAAACAGGAGTGAGTTTGAATGGTATGCGTAGAGCTCATGGCCCCGAAGGTTCTTGATGAATAATCTGGCTGCGTTCCACTGCATCTGATAGGAAAACATGCTTTCTGTGCTAACTTTGTATGCCAAGAGTGTTTGACCTGCATAGAAGTGTCTGTGATCATAATATAAAGTTTTAGCACTATGTAAAAATGCTTTATAGACTCCCATGTGCACCTCAGAGTGCATTTGTGACCGCATTAACTACACAGAGCCGTAGTTCACTGACAAGCTACACGAAATCGCGTTCAAAATCGCAGGCGATTCATTGCCGATTTTGAACGCGATTTTGTGTAGCTTGTCAGTGAACTACGGCTCTGTGTAGTAAATGCCGCTTCCATCTGATCATTTCGTGCGCCACTGATAAGGCTCCCTGACGGCTGATGCAGACCTAAAATTCGAATGCAACATTTAATTTGACGAATATTCGAAATTCGAAAAAAATTTTGACAGCCCTAATTGTGACATATTTACTACTAATCACCAGAAGCGGCTTTACTGACGAGATGCACATGAAAATCGCATTCGATTAAGTTAAGTCGCAATTGTGACACATAAAGTGACAATGTGAGATATTAAGTCAGAAATCTGATGTATAAAGTCACATTGTGATATATTAAGTCAAATATGGCATATTAAGTCACAGTTATTTAATATTATAAAACAATCACAAGAAATTAAGTCATAATTGTGACTAGGGCTGTCAAAATGACTGAAAAACTAAATTTGAATTTTCCACTTAAATATAATCAAAATTCAAATTATATTCGAATTTAAAAGATTTTGACAGCCCTAATTGTGACATAAAGTCACATTGTGAGATTTTAATTCAAAATAATGACATAAAAGGACAATGTGAAATATTAAGTAGCAATTATGATCTATAAATGTCACATTGTAAGACATTAAGTCAGAATTATTGCATATTAAGTCAAATTGTGAGATACTAATCCCAAGAAATAAAGTCTCAATTTTGACAGTCACAATCCCAAGAAATAAAGTTGATATTGTGACATATAAAGTCACAATCACAAGAAATAGTCACAATTATGACGATCACATTGTGAGATATAAAGTCATAATTATGACACAGTCACACTATGAATTGACATTTGAAGTCACATTTTGAGATATTAATCACAAGAAAAAAAAATTTACGGTTGCTATTGTGACATATAAAGTCACAATCAAAAGAATCACATTGTGAGATTTAAAGTCACAGTTATGACATATAAAGTCACATTATGAGATATTAAGTCACAATTGTGACAAAGCCACACAGTGTGAGATATTAAGTTATAAGATATAGTCGCAATCATGAGAAATTTAGTAACAGTCATAACAAAAATCATATCAAAGCTTTTGTAGTATTGTATGATATAAAGGCACAATTTCAAGAAATGTATAAAAATGTATGATGATGTATGATATAAAGCCACAATTTCAAGAAATTTCACAGTTCCTGAGATATAGTTATCTGTGAAAAATATTGGAGTTCTGAGATATGAAGTCACAATTACAAGATGCTTTTGTGTGAATGCTGACTACTTCCAAATTATGACAGAATTTGCAGTTTCTTGATACATTGGTAAAGACCTCATTTTCCATTCAGATAAGTGAGAATTTAGACAAAAGGATTTTTGGACAAGTTACATCAAAGAATTCTTGAGGTGTCCTTGAGGGGAAACTCATCCATCTTTTTAAAAATTCCTGTCCTGAAGGCAGTTCTGTTCTGGAATTCTTCCGTCAGAGTGACAGTACTGAATGACAGGATTAGTATTTTCACAGCAGCTCTCACCTTATGCTCTGGACCACACGCAGACATGAATATCAATGAGCAGTCTAAGCCTGTTAAGTTGAACTACACACTTGGTGTCTTTCACAAAGGTAAAGTTTGTTGTGATACTCTGACCTCAATGTCAACTACCATGTGTGATGTAACCTGCTGAAAGTGCAGAGTCACTGTCATTGTATTGTTAGACATTTTGCGGCCACACCAATATGTGAAGGTGCACTATAAATATATAAAATTTAACCAGTTTTATTAATGTTGTTCCTCAAGGTGGTTTCCAATCACAGTCCACAGAGATAACACATAGGAGGTCTTATCATAACCTACACATGGAACCAGACATTTGTATATGAAAATTCTGCTAAGCAGACTAAGCTAAGCTGGTCGAGCAAGGACATTTTGCCAGTTAAGCTAGTTAAAAACTTGATGGAGACACCAGCTCAGCAGCATCCCATGCTGAAGATCAGCATCCAAAACACTACGAATGATGAATGCTTGCTTGTATTTTCAGTGGGTAATGCATCAGACTGCAGATGTTTCATGTAGTTTCCTATACACTTTTAAACATTTTGAACCTGAGGCAAAATAAAAGCATTGCAAATGTATTGCTGTATTCCTGCAAGCTTTGTAGTGATTTAAAAGTGATTACTGGTTTCCTCTTCCAGTTGGCCCAAAAATGAAAAATCTGTCATTATTTACTTAATTCCAAACTTGTTTGACTGACTTTCTTCCATAGAACACAAAAGGAGATGTTAAGCAGAATGTTTACTCTGCTCTTTTCCACAAATTGAAAGTGGCCACAAAAACAGCACCATATAAGCATATTAACTGTTTATATTTTCTTAAAACTTATGACACCTTTGTTTGAGGAAAAGAGTACAATTTATGCTGCCATTCTAAAGTTTGGGATTGGTAAGAAGTTTTAATAGTTTTAATGGTCTCTTATGCTCACAAAGACTGCATTTGTTTGTTTTTCACAAGAAAGTCATAATTGTGACTAGGGCTGTCAAAATGACTGAAAAACTAAATTTGAATTTTCCACTTAAATATAATCAAAATTCAAATTATATTCGAATTTAAAAGGCATAATTTCAGTGCACTGAAGTGCATTCCAAAACGTCCCAACCCGACCCACAGAAGACCTTCCGTTTGACCTTGACCGACCTCTCCCTAAAAATAGCTCTTCAGCCTATAGGTGTTAGGGCTGTCAAAATGGCTGAAAAACTAAATTCGAATTTTCCACTTAAATATAATCAAAATTCAAATTATATTTGAATTTAAAAGGCATAATTTCAGTTAGGGGGAAAAACATTGTAAGACATTAAGTCAGAATTATTGCATATTAAGTCAAATTGTGAGATACTAATCCCAAGAAATAAAGTCTCAATTTTGACAGTCACAATCCCAAGAAATAAAGTTGATATTGTGACATATAAAGTCACAATCACAAGAAATAGTCACAATTATGACGATCACATTGTGAGATATAAAGTCATAATTATGACACAGTCACACTATGAATTGACATTTGAAGTCACATTTTGAGATATTAATCACAAGAAAAAAAAATTTACGGTTGCTATTGTGACATATAAAGTCACAATCAAAAGAATCACATTGTGAGATTTAAAGTCACAGTTATGACATATAAAGTCACATTATGAGATATTAAGTCACAATTGTGACAAAGCCACACAGTGTGAGATATTAAGTTATAAGATATAGTCGCAACCATGAGAAATTTAGTAACAATCATAACAGTCATGTTGAAAGCTTTTGTAGTATTGTATGATATAAAGGCACAATTTCAAGAAATGTATAAAAATGTATGATGATGTATGATATAAAGCCACAATTTCAAGAAATTTCACAGTTCCTGAGATATAGTTATCTGTGAAAAATATTGGAGTTCTGAGATATGAAGTCACAATTACAAGATGCTTTTGTGTGAATGCTGACTACTTCCAAATTATGACAGAATTTGCAGTTTCTTGATACATTGGTAAAGACCTCATTTTCCATTCAGATAAGTGAGAATTTAGACAAAAGGATTTTTGGACAAGTTACATCAAAGAATTCTTGAGGTGTCCTTGAGGGGAAACTCATCCATCTCATCCATCTCATCCATTTTAAAAATTCCTGTCCTGAAGGCAGTTCTGTTCTGGAATTCTTCCGTCAGAGTGACAGTACTGAATGACAGGATTAGTATTTTCACAGCAGCTCTCACCTTATGCTCTGGACCACACGCAGACATGAATATCAATGAGCAGTCTAAGCCTGTTAAGTTGAACTACACACTTGGTGTCTTTCACAAAGGTAAAGTTTGTTGTGATACTCTGACCTCAATGTCAACTACCATGTGTGATGTAACCTGCTGAAAGTGCAGAGTCACTGTCATTGTATTGTTAGACATTTTGCGGCCACACCAATATGTGAAGGTGCACTATAAATATATAAAATTTAACCAGTTTTATTAATGTTGTTCCTTAAGGTGGTTTCCAATCACAGTCCACAGAGATAACACATAGGAGGTCTTATCATAACCTACACATGGAACCAGACATTTGTATATGAAAATTCTGCTAAGCAGACTAAGCTAAGCTGGTCGAGCAAGGACATTTTGCCAGTTAAGCTAGTTAAAAACTTGATGGAGACACCAGCTCAGCAGCATCCCATGCTGAAGATCAGCATCCAAAACACTACGAATGATGAATGCTTGCTTGTATTTTCAGTGGGTAATGCATCAGACTGCAGATGTTTCATGTAGTTTCCTATACACTTTTAAACATTTTGAACCTGAGGCAAAATAAAAGCATTGCAAATGTATTGCTGTATTCCTGCAAGCTTTGTAGTGATTTAAAAGTGATTACTGGTTTCCTCTTCCAGTTGGCCCAAAAATGAAAAATCTGTCATTATTTACTTAATTCCAAACTTGTTTGACTGACTTTCTTCCATAGAACACAAAAGGAGATGTTAAGCAGAATGTTTACTCTGCTCTTTTCCACAAATTGAAAGTGGCCACAAAAACAGCACCATATAAGCATATTAACTGTTTATATTTTCTTAAAACTTATGACACCTTTGTTTGAGGAAAAGAGTACAATTTATGCTGCCATTCTAAAGTTTGGGATTGGTAAGAAGTTTTAATAGTTTTAATGGTCTCTTATGCTCACAAAGACTGCATTTGTTTGTTTTAAATAGTTATATTGTGAAATAGTATTGCAATTTAAAAGAATGGTTGTCTGTTTTTAATATATTTTCAAATGTAATATATTCCTGTGATGGCAAAGCTGAATTTTCAACAGCCATTACTCCAGTCTTCAGTCTCACATGTTCCTTCAGTCTCCATGTACCCTGAGAGGAATAAACTTCTTGGTAGAACTTCACTGTGCACTACCGAACTTTCTTAACCTTAAACAATTCTCTTTTATTTGAATAATACCTGCTTCTATCTAAGTGCTATTCATTTCTTAACTGCCGTTCAGCAGGCCTGCACAGCCATATCTGACAGGATAAATGTGTTGGATTATACAGGCGATTTTCAGCGAAGATTCAGTGATTACATTGACTCTACTAACAGAATAGATCAAAACGATTATTCTGAATGTGTGTATATGCATATGTATGACGATACAGATCTCTGTCTTCCTCTCTTTTACAGATAAAGAGAGAGTGCGTAGCAGCTAAATAAAGCAGAGAACAAGCCCGTCTCAGGACATCAGTCCAAAGAAGAGGATCTGCCGGCAAAGAGATAAGAGGGGGAGGACAGGGAACGAAAGAGAGAGTTGGAGGACGAGAGAGAGAGAGAGAGAGAGAAAATGGGATATTGCGGCATGTGGATCTTCCTCTTGTCCCTGTCTCTCTTCTTTCAAAGCGTCACTGCAGAGGCTGAAGGTAGACTGCTGACTCACGCTTTATCTACATGCGATAGGGCCTCTTCAGTCCCCAGTGAACTGCCAATATCCCGCCCTTCAATCAATCACAGTCTGAAAAGGTTGCAGGCAGGGTCCAAAATGAACAAGCACTAAATGCGGGTAAAATTTGGTGAGCAACTAAAATTGAGTTAATCTTGGTATACACAATGATATATAACCTTTTGTGTTTGGATGCGAGTTAAAAGTTAAAAAGAAGGAAAACTTCCAAAAGCAAACATTATATGTAAATGAGGTAAATTCCTTCATTTTTTTTTTTAGTTCTTGATTTGACTAGCTAGCATTAGAAAAAAGAAGTTTTTTTTTTGAATACGTAGCGATTTCTTTACTTTATACTCCAGAATTTTATATAAATAATTTTTAAAATGATATATTGATAAGTTAATATGCTAGATCCTATATAATAATACTATGTTCCTGTGGCTCAGTGGTAGAGCATTGCGTTAGCAGCACAAAAGGTCGTGGGTTCGATTCCCAGGGAACACACATACTGGTAATGTATAGCCTGAATGCACTGTAAGTCGCTTTGGATAAAAGCGTCTGCTAAATGCATAAATTATTATTATGAATTAATTAGATCCTAGTTAATAAGTTGGACCGGACAAATATGTATGCTGATGCATAACTAATCAGTTATTAAAGTGAGACTACAAAAACACTTGACTTTAATTTATTATTTTATTTTATTAGTTGAATAATTAATTAAGAATTTTGTCAATTAAAATAATTTATTTTATTATATTTTTATATATATTATAATTTGTTTTATTATATTAAATATATAAATAGTTGAATAATTTACTGAATAATCAATTACTTCAGTGTCAGTGCTTTTTGTCTGTTCAATCTTTTATTTTATTTTATTAGTTAAATAATTAATCATTAATCAGCTTTTTGTCTATTCAATTTTATTTTATTTTATTAGTTGAATAATTAGTTACTTTCGTGTCAGTGCTTGTCTATTCAGATTTAAATTTTTTTTTTTTTACTCCTGTCACTCTGTACTATTTTTGTTCTGGAAAAAGCCCTCCAAATACACATTTCTTTGAACCACAAACCCTTACAAGTTTTTTATGTTGTATGAAGTTTAGCAATAGGGAAGTCCACCTTCAGTCATGTCTGTGTATGTCAGTTCTCGTCTGTCTGCACACCTGAAGAGGCTGTGCAGGTGAAGTTGAAATGAACACAGGGTTCTTTCCACATGTGTCCTGCTGAATCAGCAGGTTCTGCTGCAGGCCATCTGCACACCTCCTGCAGCTTGATACCTCTGGTTTGAGCCTTTTCAGATAAATCACTGTACCCCTCTCTGATTTCCATCACCCCTGAACTGTCTGCAAAGAAATCTGTGTGTGTGTGTGTGTTTATGTTTCACCTTGAGCTGTGTGTGTGAGGGAGAGAGAGAGAATGTGAAACATACTGAATTCACGCAGAATGGTTTTAGAGGAGTCTGTCAGGACCAATTACTGAGGCTCTAATACCCTGAAACACTGTAATTTCCCGCACCTCTTCAAAATGGCTGTTTGCAGTGACAGACACTTGACTATGAAATGGAAAGAATGTACTTTCTGAGGTCACGTCCTTGTACTCTTTCAGTATTGCACCTGCTTTATGTTGAAATCTGGTTAAATGCAAAAGTGCGAGCATCTAACCCCGGTAATCAGCCCTTATAACTGTAAATACACCGGCAGTCATTTTTCATTGCTGCCAGGGCCTTGTTGTCATGGTAATGGTTGCCAGTCTGTTACAGTTGCTTTAAAATGAAGTAAATGTTTGCTTAATAACCTTATTTCTTCACTGACTTTATGAGTCAGCACTGAACGGAGCTCTTTTACGTTGTATCATGTTAAACCACATCATCTTCTCAGGCTGATTATTTTAATCTAGCAGCAGATAATTTTAGTGTAATCCTCTACACACGCAACTGCACGGTCTGCAAGCTGCGGCTGAGATGTATCTAGAAAGTCAAACTGGAGATGATCTGTTTATTGTGCTGTATGTGATGAAGAGTCTGTCTTGACGTGGCAGTGCTGTATTGTGGCTCTTTTGTGGGATGAAGTTATCACTGTCAGTGCTGAATTTGCAAAAATAATGACCATTTCAAACAGGTTTCCCTTACACTAAGATTGAATATAAACACTAAGAAAATACACTGCTCAAAAAAGTAAAGGAACATTTCATCATCACAGTATAATGCCAATGCTGCGTACAACTAGGGATGTAACGGTATGAAAATTTCATATCACGATTATAGTGACCAACGTTATCACGATTATCAATACTATCACGGTTTTGTTAAATTTAGATGAAAATGTTCAAAAAGAACTGATTCACACTGAAAACATTTCAGTAAGTTTTATAACAACATCGCTGATTCAACTGCAGGCGCCATCTTCTGGTGAGACATGGGAATTCATTCAGCATGGCCCTCACATACTGCTTTTCCACCAGGGCTGGTGCCGGAGCCAGAGCCCAATTGGGAACCGGGCTGCACTTTTCCACTCTAAAAAATCCTGGGCCGGTGCCCAGATCTTGGTTCCGAACCAGCCCCAAAACCTTGCTGGTCTCGAACAAGGGACCCTATGACATCAGTAGGCAGTGCTTCCATTACAGACCGCAGTTTGAAAGGCGCCATTTTTAAAAGCCGTCGTGGTACAGGTAATCTAACAACATTAACACAACAATTAAATATGTCAGTTCAGTAGTAGTTGGCAGAACAGATCAACACTCTACTTCCGCAAGATATAACAAGTGATTTCGGTCACATGTTGGTGTAGAGCAGTGGTCACCAACCTTTTTAGGCCCAAGATCCCTGACCTCGGCCTTTATGAAAGACAAGATCTACCTATTGAAGAATTGATAGAAAAAGACATCCCAGATTGTACTTCAAATTTGCGGCCTTTTACTTAGTATTCGGGATCTACTGGGACAGTGATAAAGATCTACCAGTCGATCGCGATCGACGGGTTGGCGACCACTGGTGTAGAGGGTTCTGCTCCCTGCCAGTGGAAACGCGAGCCGGTTCTGAACGATAGCCACTCTTGGCCGAGCACTGGCACCAGCCCCAATTGAAAAGCGTTAACAGTGATCTATGGGTATTTTCTAGCAGTTGAATGCACATCGGTTGTTCACTCGTTATTGCGGTGCATTATGGGATTGAATAAGTGCACTCAATAACGTCCATTATAGTTTCGTACACCACTACAAATGGCTGTCCCCTCAAATAGTGCCTGATTTAAGGGAAAAGTGGGTGATTTCGGACATTTAAACTTCAGGGATGACAGTCTGTCCAGTTAGGAAGCTTACGTTATTGTGAAACAGTTTCACCTGCTTTGGTGCAAATGAAAGTGACAACAGATGCACTGGAGAGGCAATAGCAATACAACCCACAAAAAGGGAATGGTTGTGCAGATTGTGGCCACAGACAATTGCTCTCTGATCCTTCCTGACTGTTTTGTTTCTAGTTTTGTCTTTTGTTAGGGTCCTTCTCACTACTTGTAGCATGAGGCAGTACCTGCAACCCAATTAGGTTACACGGGTAGTCCCATCTTCTCCAGGATGGCACTTCCATACGTGCCGATGCAAGGAGGTTTATGTGTCTTCCAGAACAGTTTTAAGAGCATGGAAGAGATACCGGGAGATGGTCTGTTACACAAGAAGAGCTAGACAGGGCTGTAGAAGGGCAACATCCCAGCAGCAGGACCGGTATCTGCTCTTTTGTGCAAGGAGGAACAGGAGGAAAAGTGCCAGAGCCCTACAAAATGACCTCCAACCGGCTACTGGTGTGCATGTTTTTGTCCAAACTGTATATATCTATAGATATAGACTCCATAAGGGTGGCATGAGGGCCTGATGTCCTGTAGTGGGACCTGTGCTCACAACCCAGGGCCATGCAGCTCGATTGGCATTTGCCAGTGAACACCAAAACTGGTAGGTCCACCACTGGCACCCCATTTTCTTCACAAATAAGAGCAGGTTCACACTGAGCATGTGACAGACGTGAAAGAGTCTGGACATGCTGTGGCGAATGCTATGCTGGCAGCAACACCATCCAGCAGGACCGTTTTGGCAGTGGGTTAGTGATGGTCTGGGGAGGAATATCCTTGGAGGGTCTCACAGACCTCCACTTGCTAGCCAACGGTGTCTTTACTGCTGTTAGGTACCGGGATGAAATCCTCAGATCTTACACTGTTGCAGTGGGCCCTGGGTTCCTCCTGGTGCATGACGATGCCCAGCCTCATGTGGCCAGAGTGTGTAGGTAGTTTCTGGATTAAAGTTTGCTTTTGATGAACTTCCCTATTGCATAAAAGTAGTTTTCTCTCTTAGAATGCTGTATATGAGTGATAAATCACTAAAGCCTGCAGTGTTTGTTCCCTTCTGATGTGGGTGGAACAGATTTTCCCAACTCTGTGCAGCAACTTTTCCGGAAATGAGACTGAACTTTTTTACGTAGTTCCTGCCAGATGATCAATAACGTTGTGCTGTTTAATGCATATACTTTTGTTTCCAGAGCTCAATTGTGTTCTAATTGTATAATAGCGTCTGTCATCTTGTGGTTGTTGGGGGGAAAAAAATAACATTTCAAGGCATTCTTCTGTGAGCGAGTTAGAGGCGTTAAAAAAAAAAGCTTGGGATGTACTTGTGTCCTTCAGTTTTGTCTATCTTCTCTGATCTTTGTCCTCTACTATTAAGTCTAATCCAGTACTGATTAGCTCCTGCCTAAAAAAGCTTGTCTTTGAAGAGTTATCTGATTCAGAGGACATCTGCAGTCCACTTAGTGTTGGCCATCACAAGCTTCACAGTGATTGTGCAATCACCTCACAACCAAGGCCACATTTGCAGCAATCAAAGACAGAAATAAATGAATATTTGGATGTAGTGTATGGATGTGCACTAAAAAAAGAAGCATCCTGACATTGTAGGTCATATGAAACTATAGCACAAGCACTGGATGACTGGATCAGGACTTATTCTGAGTCTGCAGCTGCTTTTCCTGTTTAATGTGAATTCTAAAGTGCAGGTCACTTGGCATAAATTTACTAGCTCTGAAAATCTGGATTTTCTCTGAGTCTACACTGCCATCTAATGGTGGCCGAACATGTGGCTGGGTGTGAAAAAAGAAGGCCTTGATAAGAATGAGGTTGGATCCTTCAAAAACTATGGTGACAGTATTTCTTAATCTTTGGAACGTTAGTTAAAAAATATAACTGTTTATTGTTAGTTCACGTTCAGGTCCAATAAATAATATTAACAGATACAACGTTTGATTTTAATAAAGTATTAGGAAATGTTGAAATTAACATTAACTAAGATTAATAAATGCTTTAGAAGTATTTTCATTGTTATTTCATGTTAGCTAATGTAATTACCTAATGTTAACAAATGGAACCTTAATGTAAAATGCTACCATTATTTTTTCCTATTTTTTTAAATCATTACACAAAATGTACCAGACTGTATTACCAGACATATTTGTTAATTTACATATTTTTAATAGTACATGTTTAAAATATTACTTACTAAAAATTATGTTGATTGATTTCATTTCATATTATACAATGATTTCATATTATTTAATGTATCAGTCAAAATGAATTAATAACCAATTAAATTATTTTTATTTAATGTTGATTTTATGGGCCCTGCAAGAAGAATTCTCTGATTTACCATAAATTCAAAACAAAGTCAAAATTAATGACTTGTAATAGACAAGGCTTTTTGTTGCATGACATACCTCTATTGTGTTTGTTGATCTGCTATGATTTATAATTCTGAAATCCATCTTCCTGTCAAACCAATTCAGCTTTCTGTGGTCTGTGTGTGTGTGTGTGTGTGTGTGGTTCCCCTGAATTATGCCCAGCTTTTTCAATATGAAATATTAGCCATCTTATTAGAACAATTTTGTCTCAGCCATGGTAAAGACAATTTGTCAAAAACAAACAAACAAAAAATCATTCTCGTTTTTTTCTTTTTCAGTATGTCGTACAGCCATGCCTGCTGATATTGTGTTCCTGGTGGATGATTCCTGGTCAGTGGGTCCGACCAGCTTCCAGCAGATCAAAGAGTTCATAGCGGACATCATCCGAGCCTTCCAGGGAAGTGTGATTGGACAGGAAGGTGTTCGCTTTGGAGTTACTGTCTATTCTGACTTGCCCAGGTCAGTATACATACTGCAGTGGGTTAGTGTTTGCACTTTGGAGAGACGTTTTCTGCTGAGACAGTGATTATGAGAGAATTAAAGACTATAATATACTGTATATCTGTATATTCCATACGTTAGTAAGCACGAATTAACTGCTTGAATACTCCATATGCATCCGGATGTGTCCTTGTTCAGGATGCGTATAGCTCTGACAGATTATTCGACTCTGGAGGAAGTGCTCCGAGCTGTGGAGGAGGTGCCATATGAGGGAGGCAACAGCCGCACCGGCTTGGCATTGGAATTCCTTGTCGAGTCTGTGTTCAGTCCTTCTATCATCAGAGACAACGCCCCAAAGGTGTGACACTTCAGTCACAATCACTTCAAAACACTTCACACACAACCAAACCCATGTTAGAGCCACAACAGAGATTTTAAAATGGCTTTTATACGGCATTGCATATTTACTCAAATATTTTAGTGCATCTTAAGTGCCTTAACTTGCCATTAAAGATGCCAACAAGCAATTTGTCTGTCCACACTGACCACAAATTGCTGCACGATATGACTCAATCACAGCCAGTCAGAAGATACTTGATGTTTAATGTACAGTTATAAGGATCAGGATTGTGAACCAATGGCATTTCGAAGTGGGCGGAGCTACACACTTAAAAATACTGGTTCCAAAAGAGAGTTATTTTCACAATGAATCCATTGAAGAACAATTTTTGGTTCCCCAAAGAACCTTTCAGTGAACAGTTCTGAAAAGAACCATATTTTTTAAATTTAAAGACCATTTTAAAAATCTAAAGAGCTTTTTCCCACTATACTCTTAAAAATAAAAATTCCAAAAGGAGATGCCATGGCATAGAAGAACCATTTTTGGTTCCCTAAAGAACCTTTCAGTGAACCATTTTTTTTTTGAGTGTGATCAACATTTTCAATAATCTAAAGAACGTTTTTTCCACCATAAAGAACATTTTGTGGAATAGAAAGGTGCCATGGATGTTAAAGGTTCTTCGTGGGACTATAGATGCCAATAAAGAACTTTTATTTTTTAAGATTTTATAAAGGGCCTATTTTAAATGGAAAAGTTTCATGGATGTTAAAGGTTCTTCATGCAACCATAGATGCCAATAAAGAGTGTCCCTTAAATGTACCATGATGGTGCATAAATGGAAATCAGTCAAACGACAGTATCATACTGCTTGTTGTGGTCACAGCTTGTATTGTTTGACATTTTATTGCATGTTGTTCGGTTAGGACACAATACTGAACCTCAGTGATATTTGTCCATTATTAAAACTGCAGCAAAGTATTGAAATGCCAAATTTCCAAATGAAACATCCTTGCACATATTCACAGAACAAACTTCTAATTATACATCTCAAAGAGCTGCACCTGCAATCACTCCATTGATTCTGTCAGGACATCACGGCCTGCGCTGCAGTGCACACACTCTGCTCCGCAGTGTCCCACCCATCCTAATTTAGGTCTTGATTAGGATTCCAAGCCGCACACAGCTGCTGGTCTTGCCGTAGAGCACCTGGTGCTCAGCATACTAAATCAGCATACTATCATCTCAAAAACATTGCAAGAATTAGATGTTTTGTTTCCAGTCAAGACTTGGAGAAACTTGTTCATGCCTTTGTCACCAGCAGGGGGGACTATTGTAATGGTCTCCTCACCGGCCTTCA